TGCGTAAATTCAGGCATCTTACTAAAACCTCTCTGGGTCCCAATTTCCCCATATGTGAAAGGGGGAAATGGTTTCTGCCCAGGATGTGGTACTCAGAAGTACCACAGAAGTACCACATCTGCCCAGGATGTGGTACTCTCAAACCACAGAAGGTGGTTTGGGGAATTAAATGAGGTGAGAAACAGAAGGGGCTTAGGCCAATGTGTTCACACACCGAGTGTTCCCTGGGCCGCAGCTATCAGTGTGATTAAAAGAATTACGACTGTCAAACTGAGGCTAACAGAGGGTGAGAAGGTGGGGAGGGGCCAGGACAAAGAGGGGCGGAAGCACATTGGATGATGGTGGTAGATATGATGGTGGGTGTGGTGTGGCAACAACATGCAAAGGGAGAGGCCCTGTACTTCTAAAACACACATGACACTGTAAACTCCAAAAAAATTTTTGACACTGTTCTCTCAAAAAAATTTTTTTTTCTTCAAGAAAACCTCTTAGGGGAGCTAATGTTCACAGCACAGAGCTTATTGGCTGAGCAGGAATGTGGCACATGGAGTAGTGATGTTCCTGGGTTCTGTTATCCAAAATAGCAGCCACATGGTTGCTTGGCGGAGGGGGCAACCTCAGCAAGGTCAAATCTGAATTGTTCATGTTTTTTTCCCCAAACTTCTCCTCCTAAATCTGCCCCATGACATCCTTGGTCCCAAATCTTCTCTCTCTTACGCCCCAAATTCATACCAAGGAAAACCTCTCTGGCCTGGAGTATCACAATGCCTCCTAAGGGGTCTTCTTGCATGCTCCCTTGCCTTCTCCTGTTTGTTGGAGGCTGTTCTGTAGAAAACCATGGCGTGGTTTCCCATCACACTCAGACTTGAGGCCAGCAAGCTTTGTAGGCACTGTGAGATCAGCCCTGTGTCTCTGTGACTCACCCCTACTACCCCAACCTCACCCATGCCCCTCCAGCGACAGCGACTGGCTTCCTGGCCTTGGAACAACCTGGGTGTACTCCTGCCCTCACCCCCAGTTATCCCTCTGTTGGATGTTCTTCCTCAGGAGTGCATGTGGCTAACTCCCTTACCTCCTGCCTCACTCAATGTCACCTTCTCGTGGAGACCTTTCTCAATGACTCTACTTTTTATGGATGCAATGCTATTTATTGTTTTTAAAAATCAATATATAGGCATAGAAAAACTTCAAAAGAATACATAAGAAAACTGGTAAGAGAGAGAGAGATAGACTCATGCCATTCACAGCAACATGGATGGAGCTAGAAGGAATTATGCTCAGTGAAATAAGCCAGAAGGAAAAAGAAAAATATTGGATTGTTTCACTTATAACAGGAATATAGGGGAACCAAATAAGACATCAGTGTTAAAAAAATAATAACAGTACAAAACACAACAAAGCAAAAATGGACAATTATAAATCAGAGACATCCTGCAGGGGAGGAGGAGGGAGAGGAATCAGAGGGAGGGAGGGAGGAGCATGGAGGACTGAGGACACAGGTGCACTGGTGAAGGAAACTCTATGGGGACTACACCTGAGGGGGTGGGAGGAAGCAAACATTTTTAAAAAATGAACAATGATGTAAAAAGTAAATTAAAAAAAAAACACAAAATAAAGCCAGAACATACTTCCACAATCAAAAAAAAAAAAAAAAGAAAAAGAAAAAACTGATAACGATGGATACTTCTAAAGGTTGAAAATTGGTATTTGCAAAAATAGGACAAGAGGGAAATGTTTTTTATTTCATTGTTTTAAATCTTTTTAAGAATGGTAATATATTTTTGAAACTAATTTGCCAGTCATGTACATGTCTGTATAACTTTGGGGTTATATTTTTACCCCTCCATACGTGCACATGCTTCACTCACCCTCACCAAGCCCCTGTGCCAGTGTCCTTTCCACCTTCCCCATCCTCTCCTCCCTCCCCTGTGCCCTCTGGCAACCAGTGTTTTCTTCACTAAGTCTCAGAATTGTTTTTGGCCTCCCCAGTGGCACAGCGGGTTGAGTGCCATGCTGCACTCTGCAGCACTTGTTCAATTCCCCGCTGGCCAGGGAGATTCCTACATGGCGCGGCAGACCTCTCTTGCCTCGCCCGCTGCTCCCCTCAGCAGTGCTTTCGGCCCCTCTGCCTGTTCTGTTCCCTGCTCTGTCTCTGGTGAATGCTTTCACCCTCCTGCGCTTCTGACCTGTACCCCCGTTCTTGTATAAATAAATAAATAAGTAAATAAGTAAGTAAATAAATAAATAAATCTTTAAAAAAAAAGAATTGTTTTTGTTGTGTGTTGCCAGTGTTTATTTTTTATTCTTTCTATTTCACATATAAGCGAAACCATCCGATACCTGTCTTTCACTTTCTGACTTATTTCATTTAGCATAATCACCTCAAGATCCATCCATTTTGTCCAAAAAAGCATTATTTCCTTTTTAAATAGCTGTGTCTTACTCCATTGAATATATATACCACAATTTCCACAGCGGAATATATACTCTATTTTATTTTATTTTTATTTTATTTTTTTAAAAGATTTATTTTTATACAAGAACTGGGGTACAGGCTAGAGGTGGAGGAGGGTGAGAGAATTCACCAGAGACAGAGCAGGGAACAGAACAGGCAGAAGGACCAAAGTACACTGCTGAGGGGAGCAGTGGGTGAGTCAGGAGAGGTCTGCGCGCCATGTGGGAATTTCCCTGGCCAGCCGGGAATCGAACCAGCGCTGCAGAGCTGTAGACAGTTTCACAGCGCTGTGCTCAACCTGCTGTGCCACCAGGGAGGCCCTATACTTTATTTTTAACTGTCCCTTATTGGAGGCAGAATAACAGCCCATAGAGATATCCATGTCCTGGTCCCAGAAACCTGTGAATGTTAGGGGGTCTTGCCATGTGATTAAGGACTTTGAAGTCAGAAGAAAATCCTAGATTGTTTTGGTGGACCCAGTGTAAACACAAGCGTTCCTTTAAAACAGAGGCGGAGGGAAATTTGATTATTTATATGGAGGAAATACAATGGGAGAATGGAAGTTGAGGTTGGAGTGGTCCCACAAGTCAAGGAATGCCAGATGCCTCTAGAAGCTAGACGAGGCAAGGAGCAGATTCTCACTAGAGTCTCCAGAAAGAAGCAGACCACCCAACACTTTGCCTTTAGCAAAACTGATTTGGGGCTTGTGTAGACTCTGAAACTGTTTAAGAAATCTGGGCCTCCCTGGTGGGTAGGGGTTATGTCTCAGCGCTATGACCTCTATGGCCTGAGTTTGACCCCCTGCCAGGGAGCTAACCCACCTGTGGCTCAGCACTGCTTGCCCACTGCTCCCCTCAGCAGTGTATTTCAGTAGATCCACCTGTTCTGCTCCCTACTCTGTCTCTGGTGAAGATTCTCAACCCCCCTCCCGCATACCTCTGGCCTACACCCAAGTTCTTCTATGCAAAAAAAATAAAAAAAAAGTAAATCTGTGGAAAGCCTCCAAGTGTGTGATAATTCCTTACAGCATTTACAGGAAACTAACACACTGTGCACACACCTCCCAAGCTCTCTCCAGCTTCTCCCTTGTGGCCTTATCTGACACACTGTATTTTACTTGTTAGCATTGTCTGCCTCCTTATGAGGGTGTCAGCTCCAGGATGGCAGGAGCCTTTGTTTTGTTGTCTGCTGGGTCCCCAGTGCTTGCCCTCAGGAGAGCAGGGAGGTAGCATGTGGGTGTCACACACACAGAGTGTGCTGTGACGGGTAAAGCTGTGGTGAATGCCAGGCCAACCCACCTGGGACTCGGCAGGTGGTGCAGTGTTGGTGTCTTCAGGAGCAGACCCCAGACTCTCCAGTGTCAGCTTTCTTGTGTGTGAACAGGGGTAACCACAGAACCCCCTCACAAGTGTGGCCAGAACTAAGTGAGGTAAGTGGTCACTAATCCACTCGCATTTCAGTAGGTACCGTTTATTTTCACTGTGTGGTGAGCTGGTTCAAGAAGCAGAGGGGATGGGGTGGGGGAGGTGTCCTGTACTGCTCCGCAGGTCCTGCTGGGTCCTCTGAGTGGGCTCCTAGCTTGTCCTGGAGTCCTATTCCCAGGAATTCTGGCCTAAAAGATGCTAGCCCAGATTGCAGGGCGAGCCAGCTGCCTCCTACTGGTACCCATGCTGACAGGCCTGCCTTCGCCGCTGCCAGTGCCTTTCCTGGATGCTGGATAGCTTGCATTTCAGAGAGCAATTCTCTTAGAGGCTCTGAATCATTCTGGGCCTTCGGAGGCCTCCTACTTCAGGGAGCCATCACTACCCCTGGGAAGTGATCAGATAATTTCATTATAGGTTTGGACTTCACCTTTGAGAGTACTGGTGATTGAAATCTTAGGGCTGAGACTATGAGAACTCTCAAACATCAGTGTCTTAAACAGAGAGCAGGAAACCAAGACAGGGGAGGGAGGGTAACCTGGCCTTTCTTCCAGGCCTGGCGGGGGAGCCCTCCTGCTCCATGCAAGCCATATGGGAAGCTTGTCTACAGGAGGGTTGTGAAAGCAGAACTGTGGGAAGGTTAGTGGCTGAGGCCTTGGTAGTGGTTAGGGGGACCAATTACCACAGCTCTGACTCTTGCTGGCCTTGTAACTTGGGACACATGATAATCTTGCCAAGCCTCAGTTTACTCATGTGTAAAATGAGACCAGTGAAAGTACTGATCGAACCGAACTGTTGGGAGCTTGATTTACAGGAGACTAATCATGTCTCTGGCTTGGCAGTGTGCCTGGCACATCAATAAATAATGGCAACAGTCATGACATGGGAGTGATGATGACACCAGTGGGTTCCATGGACCAGAGATTTATTTCTCCATCATAAGACGCCATAACATCTCCCATTGCTTCCTGTTGACGAAGAGGAGAGGGGGAGGGTATGCCAACATCCACAGAGCAGAGAGGACTCTGTTTCCCAGTCAGTGCTCTGTACCCACTGTCTCTGGCTGGGCAGGAGTCCAGCACACAGGGACTGGGGGAGGTCCCGCGTACTAGCAAGATTCTTACCTTGGTTGTCGTAGGAAGTGATGACCTGTGTCTGCTGAGGGTACTGCTTCTCTGCTAGGTTTCCTATTTAAGAAAGAGAGAGGGACCAGCAGTGACCACTGGGACCACAAGGGAATTTCCTGGGCAGAGCAGACAGCTGTGTGTGTCTGCAGGAAAGGCATGCTGGCAGGGCCCAGCTCATCCCAGGCCTGGCGTAACACCTGCACACCCACGTGCACCCCCTCGCCCCTCCAAGAGCACAGTCACAGACCAGAACACAGAGGCAAATGTGTGCCCATGTCACACACTCTCACACCTCTCAGCAGGAGCAAGCCAGCACAGCCTGGGGTTCTTACCACCTCCTGTGGGCTAAATGACCACCGTCCTGGACTTTGCTGGTGTCCCCAGGCACAGTCCCCAAAGCACACAGGGATTCCTCACTATCTCTCCACATTTCTGTGGAGTGGGCTGTGAGGGCCCTATGCCAACTTTATAGCTGAAGGGCTGGACTGCTAGGGAAGGTGAGACCTGGGACTCACCTTCCCCTGCTTGGTAGCTCAGCCTCCTGCCTCCTTTGGCGAATGGAGATAAAAAGCCTGGTGCAAACCAGCCTAGGAGTTAGAGGACCTAGCAGTTTGGTTCTGTTTCACAAACATTTGCAGGGCACCTACTATGTTAACTCTTCCCAAATACTAGAGTATGTCCCTGGGACACAGAGCCTTCCTCAAAACTTAGTGAGGTCAGGATATCATGGAAGAGATGCCAGTTTCTGCCTCAGGCCATGAAGGGGGCACCACAGGCTTACTGACCTTTCCTACAGGAAGTGCTGCCTTTCTTGCCTCTCTCCTTTTTTTTTTTTTTAAAAAAAGATTTATTTTTGATTTATACAACAGCTGGGGTACAGGCCAGAGGTATGGGAGGGTGAGAGGATTCACCAGAGACAAAGTGGGGAACAGAGCAGGCAGACTGACTGAAATACACTGCTGAGGGGAGCAGCGGGCGAGGCAGGAGAGGTCTGCCACGCCATATGGGTATCTTCTTGGCCGGCCAGGAATTGAACCTGCACTGCAGAGGCTGCAGGCAGCTTCACAGTGCTGTGCTCAACCCTCTATACCACTGGGGAGGCCCATTTTTTGCCTCTCTTTCTAGCTGCTGCAGTAGTCTGGTCTTGCTGAGGCTGCCCTTGAACCCCTGCTTCAGGAAGGCATAAGGAGTAGCTGGGCAAAGTCCAGGGTGCTGGCAGCAGGAGGCCACCACCCTGACCTGCCATCTTCTCCCCTGGTTTCCCACTGGTCTGCAGAAAGGCTCTTGGGCTTATCCCTGGAAGTGACCACTGGGGACATTCCCTGGGTCTGGAAAGAAGATAAACTCTGGGCCAATGGTCTGGCCAGTTTCCATTTAGCCTCCTTTGTGCACCTACCCAGATCTGCCACCCCATGGGCCCCATGCCAAAACGAGTCAAGGTGGGTGGGTGGACTTGTGACCCACCTGAAGGAGCCTGCCTGCTCGAGCCTTTTCTTATGTGAAGCCCCTCAACCCCCCAGGCCAGAGTTGGTCAGTCAGCTGGCTAAGGGCCAGGCTCACTGAATGTGCCAACCCAGGGTGATGCATCTGCTGGGCCGGAGTCCCAGGCCAGATTCGAACGAGGACAGGGAGGCCGCCTCCTGCAGGCACAGCTGGCCTCATCTCTGCTTGTCCGGCTGAGGGAGGAAACAGGATCTGGGAAGGGAATCCTCAAGGAGGGTGATTGGCTGGCATAGCTGCTGTGGGGTATTTATAGTCAGGGCTGCACCACTGCTTTCCTTGTAGCCGTGGGGCTTCTGTGCCTGTGCTGCTAGGCAGACTTTGGCCACCACCAAGGAGAGCAGCCAATCACAGCAGGGGAAGCCCGTTGCCAGGCAAGCTGGGGTGGCTCGGCCCAAACACCTGCTGCTTGGAAAAGTTTGGAGCACTGCAGGCTCCCCCCAACCTGCCAACACCCCAGCCCAAGGAAAACACAGAGCAGCAAGAGGGGGGAAATGTGCCCTTTCAGATCAATCTCATGTTTGGCCACATTTGCACACTGTCCACCAGCACAAGCCATGGTTGCTTCCGGCTCAGGTGAAAGCCATCCACTTTCCAGGGCTCAGTGCCTTGGGCTCCAGCAATGCAAGTACATACCCAGAATCTCACCCGCAGGAAACACAGAAAGAAGCTATCAGTTTAATTTCTGCACGCATTCCAATATGCCAAATGGAAAACAAATTTTTACTTCAAGTTACATCAATCGGTGGAGTGGTGGAACCATAATCTTTCCCCAGCCCCAGGCCTCTATAAGCCTCTCACCAGCCCCGGGTTACCTAAAACTCTCAGTTCTCGGGTGGTTTTCCCAGAACTGCTTTAATCATCCTCTTTATCAGCTGACACATTGTGCTGAGATCCACACCATGTCCTTCAGCGGAGTCCTAAAAGTCTTACCATAGTTACTGTGTCACTTTGGGTTTTGTTGTATTTTTCCATTAAAGGTTTCCCCAAACCAGGAACTCTGAAGATGGTAAAAACTGTATTAACTATATTTTAATCCTCTCCTGATGTAATACATGCAAAGAAGCCAGAAAACAGATTTCAGGCAACACAGCCAAGGTGCGATGCTGCGTCTCTTCCTCCCACTGTGACCTGCTTGCCCCTTACCCATGGACACATGATTGAGCGTGGGCTGCTGTGCATTGCCAGGGCTGCCAGGTCTCTGCAGGTCTGATTCTTGCTATAATTCTCATTAGCTGGCAGCACTGGTTCACCAACTTGGTATCCACGTCAGTAGAGCTAGAGCTGGCACGTTACCACGAAATGGCCCTGATAGCCCAGTGAAGGCAGCCATCCTGCCATGTGTGCCCACCAGCTAGGACAAAGAGGGGTGGCCGTGGGGGGTGGGGGTTTCTTGAGGATGACTCAGACTTATGCACAGGACAGGGAACATAGGCAAGCTCTTTACCTGGAGGGTATTGGGACTCTACTGCATGACGATAACGATCATTTGAACATAACCCCATGAGGGCAGGGCTTCTTGACTTTCTCATTCTCTATCCCATCCCCAACATTAGAACCCTGCCTGGCACAAAGTGGGCACTTTGGACCTTGAGTGAGGGGATAGCTGAATATATTTCCTTTCTGAACTTCATCTTTCCTTTTGTTAGTCAGAACAATGGCGGAATAAGGTCTTGTTCAATTGCAGTTCTATCTCCCCATTTATGGGGGTCTTAGTTCCCTTACAATGGCATCTGATGCTAGTCATCTGACTCTGCATTTCACATAGCTGGGGTCTGACCAAGCTCCCTATTGGGGCTTTGGGAGTGAGATGCGATTCCTACTAGAATTTTCACAAACCAACAGTGCAATTTTGCTGATGTTTGTCGCTGGAAGCTGAGTTAGTGAGTCCTTGAAAGGCATAGAATGAGGCCCAGTATAGTCAGGGCCATAAACACACGGCATTGACAGTGACATCGTGGGCCTGCAGGGCATCAGATGCCTGGCACTAGAGAGAGAAGGTGTTGGAAGCTAACTTCTCTCAGATCTTATTGTATTCTGGGTCCCAGGCCAAGAGAGAGCCACAGATGCCTTGACTGGCATCTCCCTAGACCTTGAGTAATGCTGTCCCAAGGCAGGCCACTCTCCTCTCTGTTTGGAAAAATTTTCAAAAATGGATCCCCTGCAGGTCCTGAACCTGAACAAGAACACTTAAACCTCATTATCCCAAATGAGGTAAAGTGCTTCCCTGCAGCTCAGCCAGCAAACAAGTGAGGGCTCAAGTTTGTGATGTTGCCCCTTTACCCCACATCTTCCAGGAAATCAGGGGGCCTGTTGCCAGGAAAAACTTTTCAGGGTCATAGTGACCCCAGAGCCTTGGCTGTTTCATGAGCAGTTAATCACTTTCTGAGTGGTTAGATGTCTAGAGTCTTAAAGCCAGTGAAAATTAATCCTTCTCATAATTTTCTAATGATATAATCCCAGAGATTAGAAGAAAAATAAAAGAGAATTTACCTAGCAGGCCATTTCCTTCTAATTTCTGCCATCCCCGGATTCCATTACCGACACCTTTGAGTCCTATGAAATAACAAGGACAGTGTGAGGCTCTCTGTGGTGGATAGAGTTATGTGTCAGCTGCAGACATATCTGGGTTAATGTGGGACTGGTTGAGATTGGCCCTTTTAAGATCCAGGGATTGCTGCCTATGAATGAGGCAATGTGGGGAATTAATGCAACCCTCAACAGACACACACACACACACACATTATAATATATATATATGAAATATTTAAAAAATATATAATATACATATAAAATGAAACATTTATATATATATATATAATGAAACATTTTAAAAGTACTAAAACAGTAGTTTTTAAGAGTGATGGGGTTAGTTATCAGGATCATCCAGGGAGAACTTTTGCAATGTTAGATGGCCATTTTCACTTCTGCATCTCCAATGCATTATATAGAAGTATTATTGTAGAAGATATTCACCATTCATTTTGCCTGTCTGTTTCTGTGATGAATCTCCTACTTTAGAGTCTTGAGATACAGTAGGGAGTGGGCAAAGACTGCCTGTCCCTATGCGTACTAAAAGTGATAGTTGCTGGCTTTCCCAGACTCCCTTGCAGCTAGAGCATGAACATGGATGGGCTTGGGTATGACTGATCAGATGACCCTGCATCTGATTCTGTCCAGGTACCTGGTGATGCAAGTGGAGGGGAATGGAGTATCCCTCCTCCTCTTTGTCTTCCTTCTCCTTCCCCTTTACCCCCACTATAGGTCGAAATCATGCTACAAGATCGAGTTTCTGACACAGAATAGGCAAACATCCAAGCAATGGAAGCAACTGTAATAAAATAAATTTCCTGACGTAGAAGGAGCATCTAGTGCTCCTTGATTGCAGTGGGGTTTTCTCACGAGGTCAGTTCTGCTGTGCAGTGTATGGTGCTGTTTCTGGAAGCTCTGTCTCCAGTCCTTTCAACCACTCAGAGGTCCCCCATTCCTTCTTAACACTCTTCTTTTGTGCAGAGTTCTCCAGTCAGTGTCTGGGGCTTAACACTGGGCACACACTTGTGGAATACACACATCACACTGACCTCAGGGATAACAGCTGAGACTTTGAAACTTTTAGACGTGGTGCAGTTACTTTTAGGTTACCTCCTCCACTGCCAGAGGAATGCCTGAGGGGAGTTGTGGGGGCTCATAGCACTTTTTTTTTTTTTTAGAAGTCCTACTCTGTGAAAATTTCCTAGAGGAAAGGGGAGAGACTTATCACTTGGCCTCTAGCCTGGCGTCCTAGCTTGTGTATATGCACCTTGCTTCTTTGTCCCTTTGACTTTTTTCTGCTACAGGGGCACAGAGAAGAGTGTCACATCTTCATTCAGTCCTCTGCACTGAGATCATAACTGAGCTTTGCTCTTTTCTGACATGGCACTCAGGCCCTCCTTTGCAAAACCAGGGAAAATTCATTCCCCAGCTGAGGACCTGGAGTGGGGAGGAGACAGGAGAAGACACTTAGAAATGGGTAGGGTATGTTTAGATCTTGGAACAAGGTACTCTTGTTCAGCGTTTTACCTGCATAGGCTGTGTCCCATGAAGAGGGTCTACCAGCTGGCTTAGCAGGGATCTCCTGCTGGAGCTCACAGCTCCGCCCGCCTCCAAGGCTGTGCACTCCCTCCCCCTCTTCTCTGTTCCAGGCAGAACAGAATGGTTATGAATAAGTGACATAGATCTCTTCACTACTCTGGTGTCTCTGAGAGACCTCTATCAGTAAAATTTTGAGAAAAATAGCAGAAAGGGCCCAGTAAGTGGGGTCTTCTTTCCTGCATCACGGTCATGAGTGTGAAGCCTCATGTTGGTCTGGAGTCACATAGGCCCATTGCTAGGTGTCGGGCGCCTATTGCTTCAATCCCAACTCTGGCATTTCCAGGGCTTCTATGTGTTCTTCACCTTCTCCTTCTAGTGTCAAAGTCTATAGGAGTGATGTGATTAGAGGGGGAGTGTTTGCTGGGCCTCATGGGGAGGTCCTCTGGTCTTGTCACACGCTAGGGAAGATTTTCTGACTACAGTGTGTATAGCTGAGCAGCCGCCTTTCTATCAGAGGGCTAATGGCCTCTGCTAATTTCCCCTTCCTCTGAGAGCAGCTCTGAGAACTAAAGATCCTAAACAATGCCTGAGACTGGAGTACCTGTGAATGCTCCCAGCTCTCCAGAATCGATTTCTTTTGCCTGCGTGCCTCCCCTAGAGGTCACCAGGAGCTATAGGGCAGCTCCAATCTGTGTGTCTGGGGGGGACAAAGCTAACCACCACGCCATTGCTTCACCAGGCCAGGTGGAAGGTGGCTGGTCAAGGCACACAGGGGCTCTGGGGACAGAAGAGCTAGGAGACAGGCTCCAAGGAGCTTCAGAGCTGACAGGCAGGCAGAAGTCATTTCAACGTGGCCTATCAAGCACTGTTGCCAAAGAACTGGTGCACAGTCAGCCTTGTGCACCCTCACATCATCCTCCTTCAGGTCTCCGCCAGGCTTTACTCATATACCCAGGTTCCCCAAGTTCCTGGATTTCTGAGGGACTGGCTTCACTTCTATTACTATCCATCTGTGCTCTGGAGAATACAGAGACCAGCCACCAGCTTGTCCCTACCATTCTATAAACACTTTATTTTACCAGGCTCCCCCACCCCCCACCCCCTTAAGAAAGTGGTGGGACAAATAAAATCAATGCTAAGTGAAAGCAGGGAGAGCAGATTTCAAGCCTAGCCTTCCGCAAAGGCATGTGTGCCTTTACACTTTTCACACTTTCTATCCTAGGAGGCTGTGAGAAAGCTCTAGAAAGGGGAAACTGAGCCCATGAGTTGTGCAAGTGCACCAAAGGAGCGCCCCATCTCAAAAGTCTGACTCAGTAAGCAAATTCCTCTAGGTCCTCTGTGCCCTGCAGTGTGTCCTGTGGGGAGCAGCCCAAGCTAGGCAGAGGTCAGGCCCGAGGCTCTGGAACCCCTTCCTACAGGGCATCTTCCAACCTTAATCAGCACCCATCAAAGAGGTGGCTAGGGAGAAACTGGCGCCCGGGGGTGGCGGAATCACCCACAGGCCTGGACTGAGTCAACCCAGGGCAATCACCGGGCTGCGCGTTGCTACGGGACGCCAGAGCCACAGCTAGGAGACAGGCAGCGGTGGGGAGAGGGTCGGTCTCTCTGACCTCCTTTGGGGGCGCCCGCGCCCCTTGGCGGGCGGGCTCTGGGGTAAGGAGGTCGAGGTGCGATGGAGGCCTGGGTGCCCGGGGGCCTGAGGGGCCGGGGCGGGCGTGCGTTACCTCCTCGGCGCTGCGGCAACGTGCCCGCGTCTGCCTGCTGGTCGGAGTGCGCGCCCTGGGCAGCGCGCCGCTTCTCCGAGTGCACGATTAGCAGCATGTCGATGGATACGGCGTTGCTGTCCTTCTTCAGCTCCATGGCTCCGCCTCGCTCCCGGCCGGCTCTCCGCGGCCGCTCGCAAGGCTGCCTGCGCTGCAAATGGCCCCGTGCGCGCTGCTGCCGGGTGCGGGAGACAGTGAGGGCGCAGGAGAGGGCGCTCCCCCGCCGCCGAGTCGTTGGGCGCCGCGTTTCGCTGACTCTGCCAAACACGCCATTAGGGCCTGCCTGGGAGGGCGCTACCCGACCGAAGCGGCTGTAAGTCACCTTTGAAAGGAAATCCCCAGCCAAGTCCTGACCTGCACCGAGGCCACAGTCCGCAGAGGCCGCTGGCTCCAGAGCCACCCTCTCTGGCGCTCTGCCTCCTGCCCCGTGCGCTTGAAGCCTCTCGACCGCAGCTCCAAGACTATTCTCGGGTTGACTTGGCGCGGCCTCATTCCTGCGATCTCTGAGGTGGGGACAGAGGGACAGAAGCAGGCCCCCTCCTAAAACCAGGACCAATACAGAAATCACACGGTGCTGTCAACAGCGAAAGTTGGTTCAGGAAAAAGAAAAACATCCAGGGGGCTCCAGATTGAATGAAAGGTGTGGAGAAGTTGACCAAGTCTTGGTTTGGGCCCCATTCAATTCCTGGGTGGTTTTACGTATCGATAACTTCCCCTGTAAGAGGGTGATGGGTCGGGTGTTGGATCAGGACCCCACATCCTCCCATATGGCCCGTGCAAATTTGGAACATGTCCACTGGGCATCAGCCTAACAGCCTTTCTGGCCTGAAATGAAAATCTTAACATCTCTGTTTTATTGTTTTTTTTTTCTTTTTTTTTCTAGAAACCTGGCTCCTGCCTGGTGGGGAGAGAGCAGGGCAGGAGGAGGAGGCTGGGGTTCAGGGAGCAGCCTGCCTGTTGTGGTCTGGGAGCTGGACTTGAGTGCCCATCTATTTTTAGTGGGGCCTGGCCTGCTCAAAGGCAGTGGCAGGACCTTTGGCTCTAGGTTTTAGGAGTGTTTACAGCGGCATCTGCCTGGTAGCCCTGGGCAGGATGGACCCACCCTGCTGGGACCAGAACTCCTAATCTGAATTTCCACTAGTAGTAATTACTGTACACATGGCCACACATGGCCTTTGCTCTGGGCTTCTCATGATGAAGTGTAGTGATCTTACCTTGCACATGGTCCCTGAGAGTGTAGACTTCCCCATAGGAAGCAGACTGTTTGGCATATGCCTGGGTTCCAGTCTCTGTTCTGCCGCTACTGCCCATGTGACCTTGGAGAAGCCATTTCCTTTTCATTATCTCGCTAGTATCATGGGCTTAATACAAATTCTCCCAGGACTGTGGTGAGACAGACAAGCATGTGGGGTGCCCAGCTCATAACAAGTGGTCTGCAGTGATAGCTGCCATTAATACCTCACTTGAAGGGTGAGAAAAAGGAGAGCTGAGGTGACCGGTCAGTAATGGAGCAGGGGGTCACACAAGTAACTGCGCCTTCAGACTCTGAGGATCTTTCCCACTGAATGTGGCTCATAGTTTGGTTGCCTGTCAACTGCTACTTCAGTGCATCACCACAGGCCCCTTGCCCACAGGGCATCTGTTGAAAAGAGAGGAAACTGGCTTCTGATATTGTTGAGCTGGAGTCCCTAGAGAGCTGGATTGTGTGGCTGGTGGAGGTCAGTCCTGTGTGTATGCACACACGTGCGCACTCACACACACACACATATACATACATACTCACTACATGATTTGGAGACAGGTTAAGCCTTGCAGCTTTCTAGATGACTGGAAAGAAAGAACTATGGATAATTCGAAGCTTCTGGGGTCTTCGAGATTGCTCTAGTTGTTCTCCAGTGTGCCCAGTGTGCCCCCACCTGATCTGGGACAATGTAGCCTAACTCTTTTGAGGATGCAGATCCCAGCAGAAGCTCCAGAGCATTCCTTGTTGCAGGAGAGGCCTGTGCATGGTAGAATATGCAGCAGCATTCCTGGGATCTACCTACTAGGTGCCAGTAGAATCCACTTCCCAAGTGTGATAATCTAGGATGTCTCCAAATATTGACATATGTTTCCTGGGGGACAAAATTGCAGCGAGAACACTGCTTTTGAGCAAAACCATGAAATAGGGACCATGTCACCTTGACTGCTCTGGGAAATGCTACTTATCCAGGGGCCCCCCACCAATGACCACCATGTAGCTGCTGACTTCATGGGGCCTGCAGAGCTGCTCCCTGCCAGAAGCATGGATGGAAAGATCTGATGCTCTCTGACCCCCAACCGCCCTCATCCCTGGCTACTGCTGACCCATTCCTTATCCTTGCTATTTGCTTTAGGCTGAGAGAGAGATACCCTGGGGAAGGTGTGTGACTAGGGGCATTTGGATATATCTGGAAGGGGGAGGAGAGCAGGAGAGAAAACTAAGACCAGGGAATATCATTCAGAAGGTCTGTCCTTTCTCAAACCTCCCTCCAGTGTTCTCACAACGGAGGACAATGGGCAGTGGACACTGATCGGCCTTCAACCTGTGATTCACATCACATGCAGCTTCCTACAGACCCATCTCATTTTCTCTCCCTGCCATCCCACACGTGCCGCTGTCACAGCCCTGTCCCTGCCTCCCCAGACCTAGTGGCCTTTGCTCAGCCTACTGGCACCTCCATTCTACCACCATCTGAAACAATGTATGGTTTCAAGGCCCACTGTATTTTTGTGTGACAATTATTCTATACCCTTGTCTGAGGCTCTGACAAGCCACAGGATATCTCCATTCTTGAGCAAAACTTTAATTATTTTAATCAAGATGAGTTGGAAATTTCAGACACTGAAAGAGAGCAGTTAAAATGACTGAATCGTCACCTTTATCCTCCATCACATGGAATGCTCAGACATGTCCTGGTGTCACCCAGACTGCTTCCCCCCCTTTGCTTAAAGTTAGGATTTGTCAGCTGTCTGAGCCATCTGAGCCTTGCCCTGACATTACAGCCTTGAAGGTGGGGGGCGGGTGGCAGGTGAGGCTTGCTCCAAGCGGAGGAGGTCTCGCCAGCACAAGCAAGGAGTGTGGTCTGACTCATATTCACTGTTTTTCCTCAGAAATATTAGTTCTTCAGGAAACACCAGTCATAACTCTTTTATCTCTCTTGAGATCCCAAGAAGTTTCCTTCTTTATAGGGACATAATAGGCCAGGCAATATGTGAAAGATCTTTAGCAAAAGATTTGTTCATAAGACATGTTTTTCCCCTCCAGTGCAGTGGAAAGGGGCATCCAGAGAGTGGAGCAACTTGGTGAAAAGCAACAGAAAAGACCAGTCTTGTGATCCCCCACTTCTCAAGGTGGGCAGTAGTTGCTGGGGGTCCAGACATCTTTTCCAGATTCCTTTTTGAACCTGGAAATCTGTGGGCTTCCTAGGGTAACTTGGCCAGTCTTGGCTTGCTTCTATGTTTGAGTCATTTTTATCGCTGTCATCTCTTCCAGAAAACCTCTGGACCTCCCTGCCAAGTAGAGTCCTGCCATCCTTCAAGGCCTGACACTGGCCCTCACCTCCACCCTGAGGACTTCAGATCTTGCCACCTTAGTTTGGGGAGTCCTGCAGAATGCTGAGTCTTTATGTGCCTCTCTTTCCATCTTTCTGACTATCTTAGTGGTTATTAGGACCTGGCTGGTTATCCCAGCACGGGTCCCATACTCATCATATTTAGAGAACCTGCCAGTGGGCACTGAGTTATGCCAGGCCAATGTATGTTCCCAGACTTCACCTCTTAGCAGGGTGACCTTGGGCAATATGCTTAACCTCTCTGAGCCTCAGTTTTCCTCATCTGTCAAATGGGGATTAAATAAACAAATTATTTAGCATAGTTATAGCTGTGACAACTTCTATTCTGTCTGAACCCCTTTCTCGGTCCTGCTCTGAGGAGGATCTCATGGATGTGGTTTTACAACTGGGGAGAGGGAACTGGGGGCATCCCTGATGCTCCCACTCTGGTGGAGCAGGAAATTGTCTTCCCTCCTGTGTCAGTGTTCTGCTATTACAGAGAAATGCAGTGAGCTGCAGAATCTATTTCTCACAGATGGGCAATCAGCTGTACAGAGGCACCTCCATCAGCAGGAGGCATGACTCAGCCACTCCCACTGCCCTCTGAGCTCTTCGAAGTCAGTGGGATGGGGTTTTGTATAATCTCTGTTTTATAGATAAGACTGCGGCTTAGAGATCCACGGTGTCCTACCCACAGGTGTGGCTAAGAGGTGACACCTCAGTCCTTCACATCCTCCTCTATATGACTCCAAAGCCCATGTGCTGACACCCCCTCCATTGGCCAGTGCCCAAGACCAGCACAGGCCTGTGTGCTGAGCTATTAGTGCCCAGGCCAAGGGGAAGAGCAGCCATCAGCCTTCAGGAGGGTGCCCTCAACATTCACAATGAATACACCTTGATCCAGGGGCCCAAGACCTCTGTTATATCTTGTGGAAAATTCTTTGAGCTTAAGCCCTGAGCTAGGTCTTTGGGGACAGATTTCCTAGATCTTTGGAATCATTGGGGAAGACTATTGCTTTTCGGCCTTTTGGCTAAGATCAGGTGTATTTGGGGAAGACTGGTGGCGGAGGCAGTTGTCAAAATTTGGTGACCAGAAGCATCTAGCAACTGTCAGGAACAGTGAGGTGGCCCCGCCAGGGAGGCAGAGATTTGCCATTTTCAGAGACATTTAAAGAAATTTTGTGTTGTAATAAGCTCCTTAATATTCTGTGTTGAGGATATTTAAGCTGCCAAGAGGACTTTTTGATTTTGCTGAACAATGCTGTCCAGCACAGCTGCAGCTGGTACTTGAGATCCCACTGTGTGCAGTGGTGCTCTGTACAGAGCCAGAATACCACTGCGATGGGCTGAGAGTCGAAGTACAGGGGAGAGCCTTCCTAGGGACAGGGATCCAGGAAGGCTTCCAGGTAGAGGTGACACTTAAACAATGTCTTTAGGGATGAATGAGTAGGAGCAAGTCACAAAAGGTTTTTCCAGGTAGAGAAGCAGCCTGGGTGGAGGAGGGCAGCAGGGGGAGCTGGAGGGGAGAGAAGATGATATGTTGCAGGGCAGTTTGGTTGGAGCTGCTGTGCAGGGACAAG